CCGGCAATCACACTATGTTCCTGGAGTTCAACGTTCACCTTACGTTCAACAACCCTTCGGTGTGTGAAATCTAAAACCTGTACCTGGCTAACACACTATAAGCCATTTGGGAAAATAATCACTTCAAAGTCCACTGGAGAGACATTTAGTTTTTGTTTTCTTTATTTATATATTTATTTATTAAAGATTTCTGTCTCTTCCCCACCGCCGCCTCCCATATCCCTCCCCCTCCCCCAATCAAGTCCCCCTTGATCAGACCAAAGAGCAATCAGGGTTCCCTGCCCTGTGGGAAGTCCTTGGACTAACTATAGCTATTTGTTCAAAACCTCCAAACACTTGAATCCCCCTTTCCTCATGACTCTAGAGACACTTCTTTGGAGCAACAGATGGCTTATCTTCCAGTCCCCTTGTGTGTGTCAAATTGCTCCCACCCAGGGAGGAAAATGTGAGGTTAAGTATCTAGGCTGGCTTATCTTCACAGAAGAAGCAAGGAGCAAACACTATTTGTTTTGCAAATAGCCAAAGGGCCAGGAAGGAGAGTTCCAGGCTTCCCCTTACAGGCACTTATTTGAGTCACATTCCAGCTCCCTCCTCGACTTCCCGGGTTTGCCAATCTTTCAGTGAGGATAATCAAGACATTAGTATTCGCACACTGAGTTCCTCTGGAGCTACTCAATGGCCAGCATTTGGCCAGCACCCTAAGGTTTTCTTTGTATGAAATCCCAATTTCTTGTATGTATGTATGCATTCCTTTTTTGCTGAATTTTTTTAAAAAATGAAACGTTAATATAGCATTAGTTATCACACTTTCATCCCCCACCTTTTAAATATTAGTCTGTGTCCCTTTCAGTGGCAATGGACATCATCTTACTGGCATATGGAGTCCAGGGATGATGGGTAAATAGCAATAATAGCTAATGATTACTAAACACTATCTTGGTGGCAGCTACGCTGCAGATCATTTCACAAACAAGGCGCATGATTATTTTCACCTGTCAGAAGTAGAGATGCTAAGCTTTGAGGGTCTTTCCCACCCTGCAGGCACAACAGTAGAGAATGGCGCCTGCTGAGTCTGGTTTCATAGACAGCACATGAATACAGAGCTATGGATCAAACAGCAGGGCTTGCTGATGCTCACTCATCTCAAATAGATATACATTAAAAAATTGTTTCTATGTGCATCGGTGCTTTGCCTGCATGAGGGTGTTGGGCACCCGGGAACTGGAGTTACAGCCAGTTATGAGCCGCCATGGAGGTGCTGGGAGTTGAACCTGGGACCTCTGGAATAGCAGCCAGTGCTTTTAACTGGCTGAGCCATCTCTCCAACCCCCACCTTTAAAAATTGTTAACAGAGGCCATTTGTTCCTGTTCACTCTACTTTTAACTGCTTTTGGCCCCAAGAGAAGACCCGCGTTTTGAAGATCCCTGAAATGAAAATACTCCTTTAGCCGGGAGGTGGTGGAGCATGCCTTTAATCCCAGTACTCAAGAGGCAGAGGCAAGGGCATCTCTGCGAATTCGAGGCCAGCCTGGTCTACAAGAGCTAGTTCCAGGGCAGCCTCCAAAGATACAGAAAAACCCTGTCGAGAGAGAGAGAGAAAGAGAGAGAGAGAGAGAGAGAGAGAGAGAGAGAGAGAGAGAGAGAGAGAGAGAATCAACAGAATCAACATCCCTTTGCTGAGCCACTCCGATGAGCCAAGTGGCAAAGTTAAAGATGCAAATGTCTGCCTCTTTTTGAGAATGTCTAAGGCACAGCAGTCAGCCACACTGCAGCCTGTGTCAGAGCACAGACCTGGAGAGAGTACCAGGGACGCACAAGAGAAAGGGATCCTGGGAAATACAACCACTTAAGGGTTTCTGTGTGAATACAGGTGCCCAGACGGGCTCTCTGGTATTCTGGAGCTAAAGTAACAGGAGGTTGGGAGCCACATGACTCGGCTCCTTTAGAAGAATAGGAAGTGCCTAACTGCAAAGACCTTCTGCAACTCCCCTGGAAGGTGTTTTTTGGTTTGGCTGGTTTTGTTTCTAAAAAGGTGAGGAGGCAAAAAAGGGTTTCCAGGCAAAGAAGAATCGGGTGAGGTGACAGCAGGCTCAGGCTAAGTGGGGGCGAGACCAAATGGTGAAAAGTTAGGCATAGCATGGAGCAGGAAGCAAACTGTAACTGCAGAAGGATGAAAGATGGGTACCCATGGAGACCGCCTTGGAATACTATGCAAAAAAAAAAAAAAAAACAAAGTGTGCATGCATAGGTGTGTGTGCATGCGGGTGTGCGTGTGTATAGACAAGAGAAAACAGAGATATCTATCCTATAAGAGGAATCTCTTCTCTCAGCATAAACATCAAATTTTACCAAGAATCTATGTTTCATAGATCACCCCGAGTTCAGTAACCCAAACTTCTTCATCTTTTCGTGTTTTTTTTTTTTTTTTTTTTTTTTTTTTTTTTTTTTTT